AAGTATCTTTGCTATATTAACAAATTTGCTGTACTTACAACAAATATGATTTTCTATAATCGATAATTTTATTCAGCTATACAACTTTGCTAATTTAACATAAAAAAAAACAGCTGTCCGCAGATATGTGGATGTGTAAATTTGCTGAATCAATGAAGTTTTTAGTTGTTTTAACAAATCTTTCTTTCCGTGAAATTATACCCAATTTGAGTTATTTTTAATCATTTCTATAGGTTGTTACTGTTCCTCAATGTGTCATTAATTTAATTAAAACAATAGAGTTAAATAATTTAACCCAATAAAATGTATTAAATTTTACTCAATTTAGTTTATTATTTATTAAATGTATACGTTAATATGAGAACGTTATTTACTAAATAAAATTAATTACAGAAATGGATTTACGTTTTGATACGCAATGACATGTAAACGAAACGTTATTTAACTCAAGGAATTAGATTATCATTGTTTCTTTGATATCTACATGGAAAAAATTTTTTCTTAAAGTTTACCCTTAAAATATACAATAGTCCTAGTTTTATGTAAATTCTCTCATTCATTAATAAAACTACAATAAAATATGTAATAAGTTTGATTAATTTTACTGAAGTGCATGATAAAAATCTTTAAAATATTATGTTGTACCACACTACCATATTTTCAGGGTAAATTTTAAAAAGCAATTCTGTCCGTGTAATATTCACAAAAAAAGACAGCTGCTACTAAAAATCGCCGCAAAAATGCTACGCGAAAAGAGTATTAAGATCGGCTTTAATCGAACCTGGAGTCATCTAAATCATGACGAAACGTGGGATGTAGGGGAGTAAAGGAGCTGAGTCTGCCAAGAGGATTCACCGAGTCCCCGACGTAGTAGGTATTTGCTTTAAGCGGAGTTCGAACCGACGGTAAACTTGTTAGATGCCGACTGGGGTGCGCTTGCGGACCTGGTCTTAATCCCGGAAGATATCGTCCGGTATCCGCGGATTAAAATCCACACTTTAGTGTCCTCCTTCGGTCTCGTCGGTCCGTGCGGCGCAGATAGCACCGGTTGTCGTCGGATTCGAGAAGCGAGGATGAGGGTGCGCGTCGCATCGCATCGCATCGCATCGCATCGCCTTGTGTCGCCCCCGGTGTCGTATCAGAGAAGGGAGGGAAAGGGTTAGAAGTTGCGGGGTTCGAATATAGTCTGTGCGCGGTTAAAGTCAACGCCAGGGGCGCGCCGGAGATCTTACCCCCGCAGCCATCACTGTTATTCCGTTCAACTACCACGGTCGACGACCGACCTCTCGCTCGTCTCTAAGTACTCATGCAAACGAGCGGCTGAGCTTACGAATTAAGTGGGACCGCCGCGTCGTTATAACGCGCCGTCTGCTCCCTGAAAAATGCTCACCGTCGAATTAAGCGTACAGCAGTCCACGGACGAACGGGCTGTTTGTTCCTTTTTCTTCTTCCTTCCTTTCTTTTTTCCCCATTTTTTTTCTTCCGGGAGTTTCCTTAAGCGGCGAGATTGCGCGATTTGTATAATTAGCGGCGATGAAACTGAAGACTCTCTCGCACGTGCTACTACGCTATTATTACGTGACGTAGAACAAAACGCGTAAACAGATACTTGCGGAAAATGCAGTTCGCCCCCCTTGTATGTCATGCTCTTGTAATAAAATACTCGTTTGTATGAAAACATCTCCAAGTGTTGCTATAAATTTACGGGAAACTTCGGAGGTAGTTTTGAGCGTAAGACAGTTTTGAACAGTTGTATTTTTTGTGCGAATGAAGAACTGCGGCTTTTCGGACGGAACCTATACTGTTGGTCTAAATTCTCAACAGTAAAACTTTCGTGCACAAGAAGGAAACTCGTCATTTGAAATCGATCCGAAAATAAATTGTCATGCAAAACTACATTTGAAATTTTTCTCTCTTCCAAAAACGTCTAGCGATATTTTTTTCCAAATTACATAGTTATTGTTATCCGATCGAATATACCGGTATTTGGATCAAAATTTGTTGACTGATTAATTCTTTAAACTAAAGAGCTGTTGATACATCAAAGCGTTCGCTTTCACATTTTTATTTGAAAATTTTCAACAAGATTAAGGTTTCATGGAAATTAATTAAGATTTTAAAGATACGCGTGGATATGAGAGACATTCGTAAATGTAAAAAATGAAGTTGGAAGACAGTTCTTTTCTCTTTCAAATTTATTACATTTCCATCGCGATTCAGGTAAAACCTAATAAACATGATGGAATTAATTTCGAGAGACGGCAATATGGCGTTCACTAGACGGCGGCAGCGCGTAAGAAAGAGGAACGGAGGGGGCGAGAACGATGAGATTCAGAAGCAACGAGACGGTTAAAACGCAATCAGGATTGGTGGGCATCGTGAATAACAATGATATGGAACTAATCTAGGAGGCAGGCCGGTTCTCACGTCGGATATGTGCACCGTGTTTTCCGGCTGAAGATCAGATTGCAATTTTAAGTGTCGCGTCGATGTTGCATTGGACCTGATTAAATTGCGTTTCCGGCACTGCACGCTACCGTGAATAACAATGAAACGATGGCATTTGGATGGCACATTTTTTTTCTAAGGCTCGAGGAATTGCTCTCGTCCATTTTTGCGGCGATTTTTATGACCACTGTAACACTGCGGTGTAGATCAAAAGTTTTCTACAACGATATTTCATTCTATACGAAATAAAAAATTATACTATTAAAAAAAATAATCAAATGTCGGTATTAAATCTGAAGTACATTCCAGAGAGAAATTTATTGTGCAATCAAACAAATTAAATTGAGATTGTTTTTTTTTTAATTGAGATATGTATACGATTCGCGATAAAACGAATCTTTGTTTATTGCATTTTTTTCATACTTGATAGAATTTGTAATTCCAATGGAATTTTTCAAATATTTCTTGGGACATATGTGGTCCAGTGGTATTGAATGGATTAATGGGAAACACGTATAACGGTTTTCATAAACAAAATAAAACCCATTTTTCACAGTTGGGAAAATTCGAACCTTTCATGGCCGTCACTTTACCAATACTGCTTCTACACGAATTTCCGCGGTTTGCTAAAAATGCAGATGATAGACGATGTACTTGAAACGATCTTTTTTATATTGCTGGTTTAGCTGAAAACATGGTCAGTGTTTACTTAAGTAAAAAAAAAAAGAATCTTGCTTCAACGACTCATAACTCCAAATTTTCACTATTTTCTTCTCGCGGTTTTTGTTTCTAACTAAATGTTATTACATAATTTACTGTGCAGATCGCTTTAAAGAATTATGGAATCAAACAAATATAAGATTAAACAAAAAGTGCTGCGTGTGTGTCTTTTATTATTAATTAGTGAAATTACTGTTAGCACATTTAATAATTTTTATATGTTTGTGAGATTTTTTTGACGCTTGGTATAAAATTACATTCTCGTAGTAACTTGTATGATTATCTATGAAACTCATTTCTAAGAGAGAGAGAGAGAGAGAAAGAGAGAGGAGAAAGACTGATGAAAACATATTTTTAATAGGTATGAAACGAAGCGAGATTGCGCAGAGCCCTGACACTATTTCCCGTAAGAGGAATTACCTCCGTTCGTATCCGGCATAAGCCACGGTTACTCTCGTTACATGGTTTTCCCTTGATCACCTCGTTCGTCGCATCGGTCCATATTCCACAACCCCAGCCAGGTACAAATATTGGCGCGACGTAGCTCGCAAAGATAAAACTAATATCACGATAAAATACCAATATCTCCGAGCGTCAAATCAGCACTTTTGTTATTTAAGGTAAAAGTAAAGTTAAAGGTAGTCTAATCTGATGTACAGTACGCACTAGAGTTGTAGACCATTAATATTTCAACATCGTCAGAAGATAATTATATACAGCACATATCTCTCGTTTAAAAGATTTAATGAATTTGATATAAAAATTTAATATTCTCTCGTGCATCAATCTTTTTTACTCTCTGCGTCTCTCGCTCTCTATTTGTCTGTTACTCTCTTTCTTTTTCTCTTTGTTCTTTATCAATAGATATCATTTTACGAGATAAAACGCGGCTGAAACGCCATTAATTCTTCTCTCTATTTGGAGGAAATAAAGTGTATTGATCGAACGTTTTAAAATGATAATAGGCGAAAAGTTGAAAAATAATTTTGTAGTAAGAGGACGTATGAACGAACTGTATAACCGTGTTTACTTTCGCGCACACTTCATTTTGTTCTCGAGAGAGTACGGACCCCACGGGTCAGCCGTGTAATCTCGTTTTTAATTTTTCAATCACTTTGATCGTTCCCGCCGCATATCCCGAACCGTTATATAACTCGTATTTATTGGCCCTCGTCTATGTTGGTGCGCGGAGTAACCTATAACTTGCAGTTATCGAACGCGCGGTCTCGAGAAGTCTCCCAGTTTTTGTTTGGCACACCGGCACCGAAAGCTTCGAAAGGATAAGAGGAGAGGTATTGGCTAATTTAAAAGTTCCCAGAAACTCGTCTACCGCTTAGTAGCCCCGGCAAAACTCGTTCCACCGTGTATACGATCTTTCCTGCTCTCTGACGAACGCTTGCCGCGAGCGCACATCGCTGCAACATTCCTCGCTCGTTTTTCGGTTCTGAATGATAATTACGAGGAATAGCTATTACATGCAGAGAACTTTTGCAAGGGGTAATTAATTCAGAGGATAACTGCAGAGGATGTGCTGGCTAGCGAAATTGTTTACCACGAACTAGATCGAATATTTTGTCAGATAACGCAATACGCTAAACAAAAACTAAATTTTAGTAAATATTTGTTTGAATAGTTCTAAATAAACATTTACTAAATGTAACATATGTTTATTTGGTGTGAGAACCATTAATTTGATTTCACTATTATTTTTAAAATTTATTTACTGCAAGTAAATATTTACTCAGTATTATTTGAAGGAATCACGTATTAAGTTTTAGTAGTCTTTTCATTGTGTAAAACTTGAAATAAAGTTAATGTCTTATTTGTTGCAGGTAAGCCGCAACCAATGGTTAGATGGCTCATAAACGGCCGGGTGAAAGATGAAGAATACGAAAATAATGCTGGAGACGTAATCGAGAATAGGTACGACACTTTCTTTGATTTTCTAATATTTTCTCGCAAATATCAGAAGGAATTGTAAGGGAAATCTTGCTCTCGTTTTGTTTAGTTTTATATATCTATTTAATTTCCTGTGATACACTGACAGATTAACGCTGCAGCCCATCAGCCGCTCTGACCTTGGCTCAAATTTTACCTGCGAAGCGCGCAACACAGACTTGGTGGATTCAAAAGAGGCATCGATTTCTCTGGATCTCAACTGTAAGTGAACCTGAATATCTTTCATAGGTCGAAACGTATACGGTTCAATATTTATTTTGAATAAATGATATATATATATATATTAAAATACACAATAATAACAAGTGTTTGGCTCAAATTGGCATTTTTTAGTATTTTTTGAATATCTTTCATTGTATGATTTAAATAAAATAGAATTCTTATTCACGAGGACAGAAATATTCACGGAAAAATATTTTCATAACAGAAAGTCACGTTTCTTTCGCGTCTATAATAGCTAAATACTTTTATTAAAAGGAACGGAAGATTAATGAAAGCAAAGATGAGAAATATAAATGCTTATCACGCAGCTAACAAATCAGAGGCCTCACCCCTGAGCCTATCTTGTCGCGCATTAAAGATAAAATCTACGAGACACCAAAAGTGGGCTAACATCCTTTGCTCTCTCGCCGCTGGGTGAGTCACCTTTAAGGGAAGATAAGGCAAGATAAGACGAGAAATATATTAAATCCACCCAGTGCCGCTCGTCCCGAGAAGGAGCGAGAAGAAACATGAAAAGCGAGACTATCCTCTAGGCTCCTCCGAAATTAGAATTCTTCGTTAACCCGTCTAGGGTGGGTTAAGGGTGAGGTGTAGAATAGGGATAAGGTGACGGTCCTATAACTTTCGTATTAAACCGAAAAATTGGTGAGTAGAATCTTATCTCGCGTTGTGCCTTATCCAACGAGGTCGCGTGACACGATGGGATTTTTGTATTGCTTGAACCGACGTTACTATTTTCCACGCGACCTTTTCCTCAATCGCTATCGGTCGATGCTTCGATTGTCGGTCGGTGATTCGATTAGACTGTTATCCATCACCGACGTTCTCATAAGGATTTCATCCATCTTGCTCCTTTTTGTGTATATATTATGGAAGCAAGAATTTCACTTTTTCACGAGAGAATGTCGAAGTCCGTACGAGACGGTGATCGATACATGTTCAATAATTAGGTCCTTCAAAAATCACGTCGTCGAAGCTACTAACGAAATTGCAGGCCGGTTATCGAGCGAAAAGCGACTCCATCATAGCGATGAATAAAAAATAGCAGATTGAAACGATCAGAGAGGAAATTCTGAAGGAAGAGGAACGAACCGGAGTCTAGCCTAAATGATAAACGCTCTTTGATTTTCGTTACTTCGGCGAAGTGCCCATGCGCCCATTGCGTATTTATTTCGTCATTTTATTTTTCTCTTCCGTGCAATAAAAACTAAAAACCGTATTTTGAACAAACAGCGTATCCACTTAGTGCTTTGGGGCAACGTGCATCAATCGCGAGAGATTGCTGCATCGACGGACGCATCAAAGTGCTTAAAATTGTTAACTTTAAAATTGATTTAACTTAGCCAACATTATCAGGGTAAGATTATTGCTTCAAATAATACCGTGTTCGTTCATGTTATACCGCGTAATGTTTCGTATTATATTTATTTTGCTCTTTTATAATACTATTACTTAATAAATGTATGAATTCATATTTTTACACAAACGTTTGAATTTGAACGCAAATTTTACACGTTCATAGACACAAACACACACACACACACATGCGCGCGCGCGTATATATGTAATTGAATATCTCTAATAAAATGGTCCGATTTTTATATGAAATATTTATTTCTACGAAAACTAGCACTCCGTTTCATTAAAATAAATTATTCAATTACGTAAATGGAGCAATAAATATTTAGCGTTCATATAAACGTAGCGTCAATATGTAAACAATTTACTAGTAATAAGGATGGTAACATGTAAAGATAATGAATAATGAATACGTGCCACTATTATCGGAGTAAGTGCATCGCAAACAGCGTATGGAAATATCTGTTCACAGTTTTCATATTTCACGAACGAACGAACGAATCGTATCTAGTCGACACCAACGAATTGGAAACCTAGATTTATTGGCCGTCAGAACGATCGTCACTTCGGGAGTAAAATTTAGGACGATGTAGTTTTTCAACGTACACGCGTACATGTGAGACTTGACGAGAAGAGCAAATGATTAATAATAGATCAGAAGTAATGATTGGCGATGGTTGAATATTCAATTGCCAGAGGAGACGATACTGCGTGACGTATTTATATGACTAAATATTAATCCTTTACGGAAAAATATTTGCCGAATAAATGTTCATTAAACGCGTCCACTCGAACAACGTGGAAAATATTTGTTTAACTTACGTAATTGTTTCCACGTTGCGATCAATATGACGCGAAATACCGAAGCTTCATCCAGAAGTGAAAAGTGGCTGCAGGTCGGCCATTTATCATTTCATAACGCCAGATCTCTTTTCAGTGATTTGACACGAGACTAGCTCTCACACATATTTTTATCGGTTATTTTTAATTCCTCAAGGCTATCTTTAATTCGAAATAGAAACTGTCAAGTTTTTTTGTTACATTATTATGATACTTATTATTATCAGAAAGCTTTAAATCTGACAAGAACAGTTCTTATACATGTAATCCTTACATAATATAGTGTTACAAATTTATTTGAAGACTTGCAAAATACTTATTAGAGAATTTCACAAAAAGACCGCTTTTGTTAAGAAATAAATTTCTGAAATAAATTGGCCAAAGAAATTAAAAAATTATGTATAATATTCATGTTAATATTACACATGGAATTATAATTAATTCATATTTCAAATTTTTCAAATAATTGATTAAATTGGTTCTTGATTGAATATTGATAATTTGAGAATACTTATATCGGCGCTGTGCTTTATTTTTCGCGCATATTATATTATATTAATTATAATATTATATTATATTTTAATTTTATTGTATTAAAATATTTGGTCAGATTTTATCGTAGTAATAGAATATTGATACTGGAAAAGTCCGATGTGACAATTCAATTTATACTTGAACGTGACGTAGCATGGACATACAACTAGACAGCGTCTTTAAAGTTTGTCATTTTTGTTTAGTGAAACCTCTGTCTGTGATCATAAGAAGACCGGGTAGAAAAGGGATCGGCAATGATTCTCTTCTGGCGGGGAAACGGTACGACATGGAATGCGAGACCACTGGTTCAAGGCCACCCGCGGTGATAACCTGGTACAAGGGTCGGAGAAGACAGCTGAAGCACACGACGGTAAGGAAGAAAAATAAGAAGTATAACAGCGAGTTGCGCGGATCCTCGACCTAGAAGTAGCTGCTGCTTATCCCCCTCCCTGCCGTGGCTTATACTACGGGTATATCCCGTATCTTTTGTCCCCCGGCACAAAAGCCGCTTTTTCCCGCTTTCTTTCGCGGCTCGTCACTTCCATTTTTGTTCCGGCACTTTTGTGAAATACTGAACGGTGCGGCCTAATCCCAGAGGCGCGAACTTTCTCTCGACTGCCTTTCTCTTTGATTAATCAGGACTTATTTGCTAATACGTTGTTTTAACGCGATTCGATTCGCACGTAATTCCCATGGCGCGCAGAAGCATGTAATTAACGAGTAAGCTGCTTATTATCCTCCAGTCGGGTCCTCGGTAATTAATCGCCGTCGCTGACTTTAGGAGTTTAAAAAAGACCGGGTGGAAAGATAACGCGATAACGCGTTGTCTGGTTCAATTTTCGTTGTTTCAAACTTTCATTTATAAAGCTTAGGGACTTTGTCCAATTGTATTTTCTCGTAAATGCGTATAGATACGATTGTAGAGATTTCTGTACATATTAAAAAGCCTTTCAATTAAATTATCAAAAATCATACAATTAATAAATTATTATTTTCGCAATAAGAATTAATTATTTACAGATTTTAATATGTTATTCGACATTATTTTTTTAAATTGCTAGTCAATTTAACTCGTGATATTACTGCGGTAGTTTAGTAGAGTTAGCGTTTTCAAGACCAAAAAATCATTTCGGCGCACGTTTCTGGAGACTACATACGTAGTATATAAATTCACACAAGAATCATACAAGATCCATTTAAGATCCAGCTAGACCGTTTAAGGCTTTGATTTCTATAGTTTGTGTTATTACGGTCCTATAATATATTATATTTATTATTTTTGCATTTTAGAAAAGAAAATTCTAACTTGAAATATTAATGCAAATAGCTAATAAAAATTCTTTATTGAAAGCCAAGGAATTATGGCATTCAAAGCAATAACTCGAATATATATCGCTAACTATTCACACGTTTGTAAAAGGATACTTGTCAGGAATATTTTATCAAAGAAAAATCTATTGTGTGTTTGAATAGGAATTCTCCAGTACACATAATAGTTAAGGCACTCTTGTTTGCGGCAATCTTTCCTCGAAATTGCCACTTGTTTGCGCCAATTAGTTTACCATTTGTATCGGCTAACACTATTGATACTAAAAAAAATATCCGACACGATGACGTGATTCTTTAAATAATACATAAAAAATGTATTTCAATACGTCACGCGGTGAGATCGCGCAATCGAGTCAATTTTCTACCAACACTTTCGAGAGTTACGTGCCGCTTCCGAGTTTGTTAAGAATGAGACGTTGAGCTGGCGCCGATGACGGCGCGAATGCGAGAAGGGACGCGAGGTTAAAAGGTCGATACGCCCCGGGGAACCGATAACTACACCCCTCGATAGCGAATCTTTCCCTTGGGAGAGATTCTCGCGAGAGGAGCACAGTCATAAGAACCGCGAGGGTCAGAAAGAAGGAAGACGAGAAAGCAAAAGAAAGGGAAAAGAGCGATGGAGGAAGAGAAGAGAAAGGAACCAGGAACAAATAAAGAACTAGTACCCTTCCCAAACGGATTGGATTCATCCAAGCTCGGAGTCACATCCGATTGTGATAGTAGGTTGAAAGCGAATCGAAAGGGAAGTTGAAAACGACGGTAGCGTCGACATTAGTGGAGGTGTTGGTGGTGGTGGTTGTAGTGGCGAAGATCGGAGCTTTCGAGACGCGCCGATTGAATTAAGCAGCCACACCTGTCGACTCCAGATATTTTCATTGGCGGTATGCTAATTGCCAATTAAGCTATACCGATTCAGTCGATCCCGGCTCGAACATCCACTTTACATTTACGTCTCTCTTCTACAAACGCCGCGCTAAGACTATCGAAGGGCGATGTCTACTTGCCACGTTTAACTAAACGAATGGCGGCGAAAAGCAAGTTGCGAAGAACACGCGAACACCCTGGGCGCCACGAGGAACATTAATCTATCGCGCACGTTGCATGACAATGTTGCTATAAATATCAAAATAAATGTGGGGCATTATGATTTCACATAACGTACGTTAAAAGGGCTTTTTATTTGTAATTTATTTACTTACATTTATTTTGAGAGAGAAAACGGGATTAATGCTTTCGAAAGAATGCAAAAATATACACAAGTAGGTATTTGAATTTGTGTATTAAAAAAACACGTGTGAAATAGAAATTTAATTATAGTGATTATAAAAATAAATGCGCAAATAATCATAGCGATCATTAGAGATATGAACTATGACGAAACTAAGAATTATATAAGAAAATATCTAATTTTGTGCGAAGAAAAAGTTTACATTAGTGCTCAGACTATAAATGAAATTATATTAATACCGATGATAAAAAGCCACATGCTGTTTGAATTAGTTTTAAATTGTCATAAAAACGAAAGAACAAAATATAATATGATTTGTATATCTAACAAAATATTACTGTAAAAGAAGAATTGACGTTCCTGTGCGATTTTTTTTTTCTTTCCTTCGAGAGGGAAATATTGATCTTTCAGGGAGTGGCATCAGAAACTCCCTGCGGTGCTGTAACTGCGAGTTGCATAATACTTGTCAAAATGTTACGATACTAAAAGCCCTTTCCGCTAGACGCGGTTGTTACGAGAGCGGACGCACAGTGCGAAAATCCGCGTTCGGGCCGATGGGAATATTCGACATTATCCGATAATGTATGTATCGTCAAGAGCACATTACTGCCTGGCTTCCTGGAGTGTCTGCTAAACTACATCCGAACGGAGCAGGGGCAAGAAACCCGACCCGCAGGGAATCGCCTTTTATTAATCACGGCGTAATGAATGAAACGCCAAATCGATGGGATAGATATGTCACGTATAATTATGAAAATTATGTTGTCTCCATAAATCGCTGTTTCAGTTGAGTGTATGTGTGTGTGTATGTGTGTATATATATATATATATAATATACACATATATATAATATATTGTTGATATATTGTTAAATAATAATTATTAATTTCGTGTATCAATTTGACAATTAGAATGAAATTTTCGAGAAAGTTATTTAATACTAGATCACACATTGTCTCGATTGTCGATTGAATTTCCATGTCCATAAAGTTACGATATTATATATATGGTGTCGATTCTATTGATATATCTTTTAGAATATGAAACGCGTTGTAGGATATAGGTCAGTCTATTCAACTCAACTTATTTTATCTCGCTTGTATCAGAATGTTATAAGAATATCTTCATTTAAGAGCTATGAAGATATTTTAATATTTAAAAAATAGAACATTGTATCTTACATAAAATCTCTTGGCTATGTATTAAAATAAAAAGTTCAATTTAGAAACAATTGATATCAAAAGTATCAATATTAAGAATCTTTATTTTAGACATATGTGAGAGCACAATCAGTACTAGAAATTAAAAAGCCTATAACGAAATTAAAAAGCCTATATGTTAATATGTTTTCAACATATTAACATCTTTATAATATGATGTCTGATTGTAGCATCAAATTATTAAAATTGCTTGTAAATTTAATTCGCTGTTACTAGAATAGTTTAATTGCGTTTATAGTCTGGAAAAACAATTCGGCGCGCAGTTCGAAAGACTACAACATGATATATATGCAAATACACATATGATATATATAGTAATTCAAGATTGAATTATTGAAGATCCAGCTTCGACCATTATAGGCCTTTTAATTTTTAGTGTCAAAAGTATCAAATAAAAATCGGCGAAATTAAATTATTATAGAGCGGCGACCTCGAATTAAACAAAGCAACAAGTATATTCATGCTTTATTTTTATATACATTTGATTTTTTATATTTAATGTTTATTACTTTTTCCGCTCTTGTCCGATTCAAGAATATCTTATGGATGTCAATAATAATCGTTCGATTTTCTTGATATGGTTTCTTCGGAATATGTCCCGAAGTTCGTCGTACTTGCGTTTAGACGCGAATAGAGGAGTACCTCAGTCACGTCGGGCATTCTATAGAACTTCACTAGCCAATGCCAGGATGGCTCGAATCGCGATAGTTAGATACACACGGCCCCGGGGGCCTGGCATTATCGATAATCTAGAATCGGAGCTGTAACTTCCGCGCGTTGGCTCGCGTACACGCCAACGCGTCGCACTTTAGAGTCGGCGTTGTGTCGGGCGCTGTTGACGTGCGGCTCTAATTAATTTCACGTAGTTCATTAACGAATCCCGGCCGCAATGCTTAACGACATTTTGGCGTCTCTGCGTATCGCGAGCTCCAAAGTGTATTCCCGGAGCGGGCGAAAACTCCGTTATACTTGCTGATTAACAGTGCAAACGATTGCTGCGTGCATCGTGTACGTTTCAAATTAGATACGAGACGTGGCGATAACAGTAATATAAGAAATATATCTCGAAATTGACTATCATTTATGTCTCTTTTATTTTCTGTAAAAATATGGTAGATCTATATAATAAATAATATGTATATGATATATATTATATATATTTAATAAATTAATAATAAGTAAATGTAATTAGTTGTTAATAATAAGTAATTGTAATTAGTTGTTACTAAGTATTCTCGATGAGGTAGAACAATGTGTTCGGAAAATAGTATCGCTTGGGCAAAATTAATTATATCAGACTGAATAATCCGGTGAAATTGATTGTATCAGATTAAATTGAGTATATATCCACATATATTATATCAAGTGATTGATTGTGTTTCGGTAAAAAGTTTTATATGGTCATAAACGCATCGTTAAAATTATTGCAATATACTATTTTATTTTATTTTGTGTAGTTTATAAAGAGACATATATTACATAGCAATAATTGAACTTCTAATACTTTATTTTGATATAATATTAAAAATTATTTGAAGACAGGAACTTGTGCTTATCTATTATTCTCAAGTATTGTACCCTCGTCTCTCGGTTTCGATTATCTTCTTCTATATACACAGCGGACAGCTCTCGCTTTTCCTCGGTAAATGAAAAATAAGCGAAATCCCTGATCAGAATCCGCGGTGCTCAGGAAAGATTCTCGCCACGTCGGCAGGACTTGGAGCTTTTTTGAACGTCCGAGAACCAGCGAGGACGAATTCCCGACAGATGTTACCACGGTTGCTTACGGCCCACCTCTGCGGAACCTAATATAACCGAAATTAACCATGGCGAGTGGCGCGTCGAATCAGATTTTTCTCGTCCTTTTTCCCCCGTTCCGTTTTCCCTCGCCATCTTGCGCCACGGAATTATACCATGCGAGAACGTTTCGAAACGTTCTCTCTCTCCGCGAGATTATTTTTTTTTAATTATACTTGTTTATCTCTCTTTCTTTCCATTTCTGTCTCTCTATTTCTCTGATGAATGCGAAACGGAAAGCGCGGTTGAAGTTGCGCGTGTTGCACCCCTTAATCCTTTCGTTGCTGGCATCCATTCTAATGGAGTACACATTCAATTTTTTACTGAAATTTATAATATATATTTTCGAAAAAGGAAATATTTAATTTTCATCGTGTTTTATGCTTTCAGTTGTTGTAACTCATATCTATTATTACATTACATATATTTGTACGTAGTAATGTCAGCAATGTGAGTCGCGAAAGAACAGGTTTTCTTTAAGTACACTGAGAGAAAGGATTTTATTAATTTAGCAAGCCACCAGTACCTTTAACCGGTGATCGGTAAATATGTAACAACAAATTATGTTGTTGTGATTGCTGCTAGTCTGCTATACCAACCAATTATTAGTAACAGAAACAAACTACATAGAATCTAACCTATCTTTTGGATAGACTTTAGCTCGTTTACATAGAATTCGTAGATGATCGTGGAGTCTTAAGTTGTAGGAAACCGACCAAGCACAAGGTCAAATATAGGGAGAATACTTGACTAGAATTAATCAATTTTTTACGATTTGAGACCCTGCAACCGTCTACGACTTTTATATATATATATGAGAGCCTCTTATTTACTAGCGATACTATTGATTATTTGTTACATTGACGAATTAATTTGCAATCGTAACAAATCGATTGTTTTTTTAACAAATATCACATTTGCTTTCCCTTGATTTGTTCCTATAACAAAATCTTTTCTCTCAGTGTATAGTTTGCATTTCGTTTGTTATATATTATTCTACGTTTTAAAATATAGTATATATAATATCTGTTTTTCTTTTATAACATCCTATATATGTTAAATTTCTAATACGCATATGAATTTTGCCACTAAAATTTCTCCTATCGTTACTTATTTGATCGAAGCATGTAATACAATCCACAGATAGCACTGATGTGTGTCAATATACTTACATTTTAACATATAAATTTAATAACAGCCACTACATTAAAGAATAAAAATAATCCAATAAAAGAACCTAACTTTTTTCTTTTCTTGCTTTTCTCTTATTTATGTTTCCTCTGGCACGTGCGTTCTTCTGGCTTCAGTATCTGTCAATGTTAGCACTTGGTACATCCGTGTTTTTAGATGTTCCTCGAAATATATTCTTACATTCATAAAGTCACATATTTAGAAAAAAAATCTAATAAGGATTTAAATATGATTTTGGAATTATGTATATATATATATATATAATCCATTAAATATATTCTTTTTTATTTTATATTTAGTTTTGTATTTTATTCACTATGGTCAGTGATTTCTAAAATAAAAATTTAAAATTTTCTTTTTTTACATATTCAATCTATCATTCAAAATGAAAGAAAGAAACTTATTAAAACATAATTACGGTTTCAAGTATTATTGAAATAAAACGAATGAAAATTAGAGAAAGAGATATGCGCGAGTTATGCGGGATATATGCTGTCATTATTATTAATAATTCTAATATCGCAGCATGATGTAACATTGTAAAGATGCGCAACTAAGACATAAAGATATGTATTATAAGACAAAGAGAAGATAAAACAATAATTAGTATTTATCGATATTCCCGACAATATGACGTATTCAGAGAGTTAAATTTGACCTACATAGTAGTTGTATGATTAGCATAATGATTAAAGTGCGAAGCGACTGACAATCGGGAGGCAGGATGGCGATTTCCTCCTGTTGGGTTTTGTGAAACCTAACCGTTGTAAACTCTAGTAGGTTAACACAAATGATAGAGATTCTGGAGACAAGTTTGATAAGAGCGAGGCAACGAATTGAATGCAAATGTACATTCAAATTCTGAATAGAAAATTAAATATTAGTGTAGAAGTATTTATCAAAGTAATAATTGCAACAATAAGTTGACTGTAACAATATTAAGTAATATAATTCTATCCAGGAATAAATTTTAGAACAAAATTTCAGTAATTACTGAACTAATTGCTTTTTAAATTGTTGCTTCTGATGTGGCACTAATTCAACTTTTTCTCAAAGATTTATATATGTTTTTGTATTTTACACATCATATTAAATCAGTATTATTTTAATTATATAATTTATATTAAAATTATATAAACATAAAAAATAGTATATATTAAATACATATATAAATCATTTATAAATATATTCTATTCTATACATATAAAAAATTATATTAAAATATAGAATCATTTTCTATTTCTCAAAGAGCTAATTTTGCCGAAATATTAATCCATTTATGTCGCTAATCGAAGCGCTTCATCTGTGTTGGCGCATTTACTTCCACATCACGTCATCATGCGAAATTTGAATGACTTTTCGTTGTGAGAGATTACGAGCTACGAAACGTGTTTTCAAGAGATCGAAGCTCGACTCAGCATACCTAGTTTCTTAACAGAATATAGCAGTTGGCAACTAGGACTTTCGTCTGAGCGAAAACGCATACACTCCATACTACAGACGCGCGTGCTAATTCACTTCCACGTCGACTTACTCGATGAGCTTCCTCATATACGTGTCCCGACCTCAATCGTTCCAATTCGCTGTTTGATATTGACTTACATGAGTAAACAAAAAGTTTCGCAAACAGATACTAAGAGAATGATATAGGAGATACGCGGTAATAAATAGCCAATTAAGAATGCCTTTGGATATCTTAAATTCTTTATCTCTTTTATTATTTAATAATTTTAAATAAATTTAATTGAGTATCTAATTAATTAAATAAGTTTAATTATTCAATGTCTAATTTATTAAATAATTAAATAAGTTCAGTTATTAAATTATTGAAAATGATAAGGTTTTATTGTTTAATATATAATGTTCCAATTTTAAATATAGTATTATTTTATCAATTTATTTATTTACAAGCGTGATATTTAAACGATTTATTTGACATACTTCACAAGGCGTTATACGGTCTCTGCGCGATTTACTACACGAACAAATCGGCGTGATAGATAAAAAGATAATTTCACTGAATTTCCTGGATGGTTCGCAGGAGGAAAGATCCGAGAATCGAACCGTCAGCACGGTGGAGTTCGAGCCGGGTGTGGAGGATCATGGGAAATCTATCACCTGCCGAGCAGAGAATCCAAACGTGACCGGACTCTTCGTCGAAAAGTCCTGGAAGATCGACGTCGTATGTGAGTACACATTACATTTTTCCTTAACGTTCCAATTTCTCGCGGAACCGTAAACTCGCTCACGACCGACAGATCGCGAAACTGATCGCGGTAAATCGAATACGACATCATGACGAATGGTACTTTACAGCTTTTGTCGATCTCTCTTTCTCTTTTTGTTCTTCCCTCCCCTTTCTCGTTCTCTTTTAACTCGTTTCATTGTCATCGCACGCATATGTCGTAAAAAAAGAAAATGAAGAAACTGCAACAACCACTCGACAATCCTCAATCTCATTTTCATTCGAGTCCCGAATCGTACGATTTTATGAGTCTTTACTCCGCACACCAAAACGCACCTTTCCCATCCTCCGAATTCACGCATCATTTCCTTTTCACGTCTCACGCTGCTTCCCCTTTTTTTACAACCAATAAAAAGCTCTCTGCGAGATTTCTTACAAATCGCTGTAAAAAATTCGGCGACGCCGAGTCGGAGCCTTTCAATTCTGATTTCAATTTAATCACTATAAACCTAGTCATAATTTCTGGCTACGTTTTATGTCTCTATTACTTTCGTTTACTGATAGCCAAGTAGCTCTTTCACTTCCATAGATTCTTCTTTTTTATTTAATGCAATTTCTGTTTCCTTTCATGCAATAGGCAATGCTAGATATTGTGAGATCTCGATATTTTTAGTCTCTTATAGATTCGTAATTCTTTAGACCTTAAAAGTACTAAACGTGTCTTATCCCGATAATTACGTTCAAATTTTTTTTTTCCAGTATCGAGCGGTTTCATCTCGTTTTAGCACGATATTGTCTTTCTTTTCCTCTCTGTCTCTCTTATTTATTTCAAGTAATTATAAGCGCGATGTAGAAATGTTATATGTTGCGTCCAGTCTGCCAAGCGCTCATGAAATTTACCACGCAATTGCGCTTATCCGACCTCGTAAATTTTACGTTCGACTTATCGAAAGTTATGGCACGTTTCTCAGTGTATATTAAAACGAGGAATGACAACACACAGCCAGGGAGGCTGCGGAAGGAAGGCGCATTTTGTTCCATCTAGCGGTGTCCGTTCTTCAAATGAGTTGCGGTCTCGGTGTTATCGTTCTAGAAATCTTCAACGAACGTTTATGTGTTTTATATTCGACCGCGTTGGAAGATGATTGCGTAGCTGGAAATTTTTTACCTCACGTTTTCACTATTTTCTCGCGAGATTATTATACGACACCCTGTAAAATTCATCACTTGCGCCGCGCGATACATATAACGCGTGGACAACGATTATAAATTTCGTACCAATCGTAAAAGCTGCGTCAGAAGAAATAATAACACTTTTATTGCCACACTGCTGTGTGGGTGTAAAAGCAGACTTTACACGTGCACACAGACTCTCGGGGTTCTTTAAGTCGCAGACAAACCGCCCTACTGATGCTTGCGATAAAACGGTTTAAGGCGTCGGCGATTCCTAATCTCGAAAGTTTTCCTGCGCAAACGTCATCCGTGTCGGCGTCTTTAATCTATCGCCAGCGAAATTTTTCCCAGCACCTAATATTGCCGGGAGTTAGTAATAGCATTTTAATAAAACTATGACAGTCGATTTATTGTAAAAATGGTCAAAAAAAACATAAAGACTCAATCCGTCGACAATGTGAAATTTTCACCCTTCTCAATCTGAGTCTTCGAACTTCAATGCAGACTTTTGTGTTGCTATGGACTATATAAAGATCTGAAAAAATTCTTACATGTGAAAACTTTAACATCAGTATTTATTATCACAAAAGTTGAATTATATTTTATTTATTTTTTACAGATTTTTAAATTTATCTATTAGAATTCACAATTAAAAAATAAACTGTGCCATCAAAGTCTAATTTTGCCGATGGAAGGTTAAATACAAAAGTGATCTAGTCTTTTGAAATATAATACTTAAGAAATCGATGTTTGATTATCTTGAAAGTAAATAGATATAAAATAAAATAGTAATATTAGTAGCAAAAATTAATCTAATACAAGTAATATGAAATAAAATAAAATAGTAATATTGCATATAGCTCCAAGAATAAATTTAATATGCCTAAACGAGCCGCTGATGGTGCTTAAATTAAATCTCTAAATTATCTCTTGAGTAAGTTTTATTATCTGAACCTAATTATTAATCTAAATTTTGTTTTCTCAGCTTCTTACGCTTTTGAGTTTTTTGGGTTAGCAGTACTGATGCAATAAATCGAATACTCTTTAAAGGAGCGATCCAGCATCGTGATATAAATTTATATCCACGAACATGGACGCAAAGGTAATCCTTGATAGAATAGAGACCACTCTTACGATGCTGCGGGATGCCGTATATCACCGTATGTTCATTTTAATTGTGTAATACATATAAATAACGGAGAAAAAGTGCGACACGGGCGGAAGATTCGCGTGCCGCCTCCAGATAGTTTTTTTCAATTTTGCAGAGGCGCGCGCGCGCGCGCGTTACTTCGGTGGAGATAAATTTCTCGATTCCATACGGTTTATCGTTCGTTCTCATCTGTCCGGTTGCGTCCGTTGCACCTGTACGTCGAGCAGAAATATAGCGACCGGGAAATACGTAAGGAGCACGGACGAGTATTCGCGTAATAGGAAAAACTGCAGAATACGGGAAACGGTGTCATGTCACGTATTCGATTACGGTGACCGTTCCTACGAAGTCTGGACTCGGAATTACACCGTCTCAGAGAGACAGTTCGGCCTCTGATGCGGCCGACCCCTCGGCTTCGCCGTCACCGTCGTCTCCGACAGACAACGGCTAGAGAAGATTGAGTTTCCGGTAATTCCTTCCAATCTCTCTCTCTCTCTCTCTCTCTCTCTCTCTCTCTCTCTCTCATATTAACGAACCTTGCCGTAATTTATAAACGAACAAAAAAACGAGACAATAAATTAGTAACGAGATTTGTTAAATTTGGAGACATTGATAATTCAGTCAAGGATGAACCGACGCGATTAAGCTTTTATTATCTTATATTAGCTTAATATTATCTCCCGGAAATATATAGTTCTGGGAAGAAATTGGGTTGACTTAGAAAACGAATTTATTACGATGGACGATAAATCCGATAATCTTCGCGAGGAGATACACCGCAAGTGAACTATGAAAATGAATCGGAGGGGCACGGTATTAAACTAATGTGCAGTAAATGCCAGATATCACGAGCAAATAAAAGGCTTGATTGCTGGCAGCTATCCGTAACTATGTGATCCGCTAGAAGACATCTACCAGCTACGGCGCGAAATATTATTGAGAGTCTCACGGGCAGGAAAAATATCAGAGCTAATGGGGAGAGAGGTTGAAGATTATGCCTCGCGGACGTAGCTTCGCCGACAGACATCGAGATATGTGTGCGCGATCTCGGTAATGAAAACAGCGATTTACGAAGTTTTTATCACTTATATTTACACAATATTATATATATATATTTCACGATAAAATATCCGAATGAGCGAAGCATGTCGTAACATCAGTCTCTCTATCCTTTCTCCTTTATGCTAATATTAATGCCATTTTTAACCCTTGAACGCCTCACACGGGAACACACTGGTGTATGACATACTAGGTCAAATCGATTGCTTATAACGTTCATAAAAATGGACATATTATAGAAAAATTTATTTTTATCGAAACGCTAGACATCAAAGAACATTACCAAGTATAAATGTAAATATCTTTAAAAAAGTTATAAGTAATGAAAAAAGCATTGGAAAGTCAGGTATGCCATATATCGAAATGGCATTTAAGAGTTAAGATACAAAAATTGTATATTAATAAACAGCCAGAGAAAGAGAGATTGATGTAGCAAAATATGTACGCAATCCTGAAATATTCCTTGTCAGTGCATAAAATATAGAAAAGTTTTAATATTTTACTTTTGCAGATCCGCCGATAGTATCGTTAAACCTCGGATCGACCTTAAGCCCAGAGGACATTAAAGAAGGGGATGACGTGTACTTCGAGTGCCATATTAGAGCCAACCCACCCTGGTCCAAGCTCGTCTGGATACACGACGTAAGGATTCTTAAATATATTCTCGTATACTTCTTTTTTATGATATCACGCTGGTTCCGAAAATACGACATCACGTAAATTTTATGCAGTATCCGCATATAGGAAGACTTTCATGGTAGGTTTCGTCGGTATGTGTGACGCTCTCATCTCACTTCGTACATCGAACATTGAGTAGAACTTTAAATCCTTTATTTGCATAATATATGAGCTACCACGTAACGATATTGACGCGTGAAGAGAAGCCTTCGACACAATGTCATGTCGATACAAGCCTATTTTCATAACGAAACTTTCTATCGTGAATTTTACCCTCAAACTTGCGGCAAATAAAAGCAATATAAATAATTTTATGTACAACGATAGACAGCATTTTATAATTTTATATTTTCGCTGCATTATCAATAATTTACTTTAAGCATCCGGTAGATACGAGATAGTTTCTAATTATTCTGCCTGTTTTAAACGATCGGGGTTATACAATTTTAAATGTCACTTTTAACGTTGCGTCGAGAAGCTATATCGAGCCAGATTGAATGCCGTACATGATTTATCTCGCATTCGTGACGTTATCGTATTTCGGAAAATAAAAGGCGCGCAACGAGCGTAAAACGGGTATCAAAGCGTAACCAACGTTAGTCGGTCCCAGCTCATACGAGAGATAGTTGCCTCGAGAGACCGTCTGCCTGCTTATTCCAGGCAACACTACCTGAATTTTGAAACGTAGCCACCGTCGCCGTCGCCTCCGTTGCGCATTGTGTATACAACCTACCGGCGCGGCAATTGCAGCGGAGACGGAAGTTAAAGGAACGCTCCCAAGGCGTATTCGGGACTATCAGCGACAAACTTCGGCCTGTGTGTATCGGTGACTGCCACGGAAGCACACTTCCTGAATTCTAATCGTCTCGATCACCGGCTGCGGCTTCAGAATCACGCGGTACACGTGACACGTGATCACGAATAGCTGTACATTAATTTTTCGTTGTCCCCGCAAGTCTCTTAACGATACGTGAGGATATTGAGACGTTCGCGAAATACGCGTGTAACTCGTTTACACTGTTATATTTTAACTCTGTCCGTAATCATATTTTTACTCCCTTCGTCTGCAATCTGAGTCTTTTTTTATCCAGTCCAAGTTTTTTTTACTGTCCTAGGCTTTCAAAAAATGTGGAGAAATTCAATTTACTTTTCAACTTTTTCTTTTTAATTTTTTTCGACCTTTTTCTTTCTTTAGAAAAGTTTTTTTAGGATTAGATATTACAAAATATTTTAGAAAGAGATATTTTAGAACCATACTCCACCTTCTTTTATTTTGAAGAAATTTGAGAGTGAAATTTCGCTTGCGCAGAAAAAGATATAGATTGCAGACGAAAGTCTGTTAATAAAGTTCAATTCTGCAGACATTTAACTCGGTTAAATTACGAAGTCGCGCGATTATAAATAACTGCACGTTAATTTCCATTGGCGTCTCTGATAACTTCTTCTCTAACTGTCTCTCGATAAGAATAACCTTTCTACGTTTAAGCACAAACTTTATGAGACTTATTATTTTGTTTCATATTGATGACCAAAATAGAAATTTGATCAAATTCAATGCGCTGGTGCAGTTCAGTTAATTCAAGTCAAGACGCGATTATAAATGATAGCGTGTTATTTTTATCGGATCACTGACTAACTCACACATTCCATCGTATGTAAAAAAAAAAAAGCTTGACATGCAGGCATCTTTCAATTAAAATCAAAATAATTTCCTAAACTTCATGATTAATAATTAAATTTATATACACAGCCAATATTTCCAGAAATATACGCTGTACTTTGAACTATCGCAATTTCTCACAATCTTTCTTGCTCATCCTAAAGTATTCAACAGAATGTTTAACGAACGTTTGTTAAAACTCACACGTTCATAATTTTGTTTGCTACCTTAAATGGAAGATCCGCTGTATTCTCGAGCTTTCAAAGCAACGCACCCTCCCCCCTTTCAACCCCCGCGGATCTTAATGTATTAATCCAACGGCCATAACACCTGGCGGAAGATTGCGGTGCACATGTATACGCTATAATTATATTACCATCGGCTACGCTAGCCAGGAATCCTGCAGGAGCGCGCGGTGCGATGCATTAGCTTTCTCCCGGTCTTTTCCGGGATCAGCCCGGGGCCTCATATCCCTCCCGTGTTCCGTCGTTCACTTTAACCCGATTCATCCACCGCTGCTCCGCCATCTCTTTTCCTCTCTTTGCTCCCACCCTCTTTTCGTTTCGTCGTACGGCGACCTTTTGCCGGATATACGTCGCGAAGGGCTGCAGGAAACGGGCTAACGGTGGGCGGCGAACAGCTGCTACCGCGTAAGAGATTTCCCTCGAAATTGCATCTTAAAAATATGATCCGACTTCATTCCGGAGGGAGAGCGCCCGACTATCGCACCGACTATGTCATCCCCACCTCTGCTTCTCCTCTCTTTTACCCCCTACTGCATTTTTCGCTCACGACTTCTTCTTGCTTGCGGATCGTCTTCTAGTCGCGCGATCCGCTTCTCACCCTCTAGCTAAGCTCCTCCTAGTCTTTGTACGTATCAAACGACGGCTGGATTATCTAACCGCACCTGATTCGCGCCATTATCGTAAAACCAATTCTTAAAACTATCTACGATCACACACACATATGTGTACCATACTTGGACTTTTTGGTGATTATCGAACTTCCGGAAATAACGGATACGTTGAGCGCCTTTCTTCTAGAAGAATAGTACGTTTAAGTATAAGAGATGAGCGCCGAAGATTTCTTGACATAATGCGCTCGTTCTTCTCTCCAAATGATTATTTTTTTAATAGAGTTTAAAATTGATATCCATTTGTTTTCTCCAAATTCCGAATTGACCATTTTAATTAATATGAGCGTATATTAAAAGATACACACATCAAGTGTTATAACAACGAAAATGATTGATTTTTACATTGATTTATTTTCATGTGATTTATTTTTCCAGTCTTGAACGCGATTGTATTTAAATTTCGAAGAGGTTGGTTTTTACGTTTACGCTCGGCTCGCAAACGAAATGTTTCATTCATTCGGCGATCCCTTTCACTCATCCGGAAAGGTTTGCCTAGGAATTATAAGGGCCGTTGGCACGTTCTATCTGCCAATCAATCCCGAGCTAGCAATCGGACCGGGATCCGGCACCACCAGGGTCTTAGAAAAGCGTTTCGAGCAGCGGTAACCTTTTGAGTGGCAATCGTAAAGAGGAAGAAAGAATCATGAACGGTCGGAGGGTGAACTTGGGAGAGGGGCAGGAAGGTGGAAACGACGCACGAGCAGGAGGGATTGAATGGAACCGGAAAGTGAAAGAGAAACGGAAATAACAGGGGCCAAAGAAAGAATAAGGCGAAAAGGAGGAAGAAATCGAGAAGGCGAAGAAAGAAATGTGGGGTAGCCGACATAATGGAGTGCAGTGATTAAGTCGGTTCTATCATTCACGGGGACAATAGAGAAGTTCTGTACCTACCTGCAGCATCGACGAGCCAATCGGCCGGCCGGTTTAGACGAGGAGAGAGCCTGAAAGGATTCTCTCAACTCTTCATCTTTTCTCGCAAAGTGGATTGACCGAGCGTACTGCCGGAAGAGTCCCATTAATACCGTTGTCCTCGTGAACACGCAGAAAGATCAAGAATTTATCTCGAACTCCGTTGAGTCTCTCTCTCGTATCTAGCTTTGCACCTTCACTTCCTATTAAGAGACAGTTTGAATCCATTCTTTACAGAAAGTACAAGAATTAACAGCGAATACATCGCGCTGTCTTCTTTGAGAAACTTTCAGTCAGTCGTGTTGGAACGTTAACGTATTTGATGTTCATTAAAATAACATTGAAAAGAAAAAAATGTTTCTACTTCCTGATTTCCAGCGAATGGATTTCGCTAGCACGAGACGATATCGATCAAACTTAAAATTCCACGTCGTCTCGCCGCTGTTTGATGCGCTCGTATATCGGCGTCGTGGCTTTTGTACATACATCGATTGGATTGCACGAGCGCCAAGGATAACGGCTTCCGCGCTGCGAATTTACCGAGTGCATTTCCCTTACACGCGAGTTCGGCCCGACAAGTTCGGATCTTAATGCGAGAGCGCGAAGGAGTCGAAAAGCGTGAGCGCAAATATATGGATGTGTGTACCTGTGAACGTAGGTTTGCGAGAAGGTGGATGTCGAGAATTCGGCGGGCCGTACATCAATCAATTTCACTACCATCGCGATCGAGGCATGTCGGAGTTCCCGCTAAGGGTAACTCCCCGAGATTCTGGGTTGGGACAGGAGCGGGGGTGTGGATTCGTTTCGTACGATTTCGATCTCGCAATTTTTCGTTAGGTGATAAGACGAAGCGGCGGGGAATCAGAAGCGATAGCGGATCGTCTAGTCACCTACAGTCTTCGCCTGGCACTCCTAAAAAGAGCCCTCGATAGTCGGCAACTTTCGAACAGCTGTTCGAAACTACTTCCATGCCGTATCTTCGATGTTCCCCTGAATACACCGACCAAAATCTTGGACGCTATTGATCCCGGCTGATTTTAATGGCTCAGTACAACCATCTATTCCAATCGCCAAACTTTCCTTGAGAACGTTACAAACATTTATTTTCAAACCTAAATAAAATATATTTGGATATATTTTCAGCATACGTTTCTAGGACGTAAAAAAACATTGACATAGTTGTTATAGTCTGAATTATTAAACTATTTTTAATGCTTCTAAAAAAGTTATAACATTTTATAACTTCTATAAAAGTTATATTTTATATACAATGTTTATTTTCTTTGTCAAAAAAGAGACTGTATTACTTTAATTTGATTTATAACTTTATAGTTATTTTGTAACTTTGTAATATTAAAAAAAGAAAAGAAATATAAATTTCAAGAAGTATAATTAAGTGGAGCCTTGAAGTTTTGACAGTTTATACAAAGTTATATCTTCTTTGATTTTGGAGCAACTTCTTACACACACACACACACA